TGTGGTCATAGTCAAGTCACTTGAGGAGCATAGCTTTCTGGGCCTGTTTCCTCAGCACTAAGAAGGGAGTGATAATGTTGCTGGTGGAACTTGTGTTCTCCCACAGGATTCTGAGAAAAATATTTCACAGACCCATGCATGGGAGACTGTGGTGTGGCAAGATTTATTTGGGTGAAAAGACAAGGCTGCCCCTCGTGGGTTCCTCTCTGTCTGTCCTGCCATGGAAAAAGTCCATTCTTGTTTTCATCAAGCCCCAAACAAAGGCCAGAATCCAGAATTTCTGTTTCAGCTGAAAACTCAGTCCTTGGAGCCCATACTGCCTGCCCCCAGGCCACAGGGCTGCTAGACCTGCATGGTTACATGTGTTCCTGGCCGAGAGAGGGCTCTTCTGTGTTCCTTGGGGATTATCTCTGGCTCATGATGGACCAGGAGTTTTTTCAAAATAACCAGTCAACTTCCCAAGCTTTTGTGGGCTTGAGCTGGGCCTGCCTCCTAACTAATCCATTATTTCCCCGGGCTAGACTGATAGGCTTCTGTGGTCCAGCACCCCCCTTCCCCCCGCCCCCCGTGCCATTTTGACTTCTATTGCACATACTCTTACCTTCCCCTGCCCCCATCCCCATTGGCACCTGAGTGGGAAGGGAGGGATATTAATTCTTGGTGGGGCAATGCTGTGATCCCCTGAAGCCAACAGGCTCATGATCCCCATTCATTGCCCTATCTAATAAAGGAGTAATATGCAAATTGACCATCACTCCAACACACAAGATGACCTCCCCGATGTGGTCAAAGATGGCCTGCAGGGGAGGGCAGTTGGGGGCAATCAGGCCAGCAGGGGGAGGGCAGTTGGGAGGACCAGGCCAGCAGGGGAGGGCAGTTGAGGGCAACCAGGCCAGCAGGGGAGGGCAGGTAGGAGTGACTGAACCAGCAGCGGAGGTCAAGGGCAATCAGGCAGGCAGGCAGGTGAGCAGTTGGGAGCCAGCAGTCCTGAATTATGAGAGGGATGTCTTACTGCCCATTTAGGCCCAATCCCATACCGGGAAGTCAGACATCCCTTGAGGGGTCCCAGATTGGAGAGGGTGAAGGCTGGGCTGAGGGACATACCCTCCCCGCTCACCCCCCACCATGCACGAATTTTGTGCACCGGGCCTCTAGTATGTAATAATGTCCGATTCCCTTTGATTCTTTCCTTTATTAATATTCAGCTTCCTACGCTAACAATAATAGTATCTAACTCACTGCATCATTTTAAAGGCAAATGAGATAACACATTTAAAACAAATGGTACATATAAGTGCTTAATAAATGGCAGTAGTTTCCCATGTTTATCAGGATAAGAGGGGGAGGTAGAGAGGAAATCAGACACTGGAGGTAGGAACTGTTCCTGTGATAATAGTCTTGATAGATCCCTAGGTAGATCAGTCATCCAGCAAGCCCCTGCAAGGTAAGGGGCCTTTTCCCTGTTTCAGTCCTTGAAGAACTGGTCTTTGACTGAAGGATTTTCCCCTTTAAAACAGAAAACACTTTAAGATGAAGAATACAGCATAAATCATTTAGAAAATGAACAGGCAAATAGCTATATATATGCATTTTATAACGTTGCCTGGCAATCCTTCATTGGTGAGGGCAGGCTGCACGGAGAGAGAGAGGACGTTGCCTGAAGAAGGAGCAGAAGGCACTGAAGGAGAAGGTGGGCCACGCACCTCAGCAGGGGGAGGCGATTGTGGCTGCAGCATTAAAGATCACCTGGTAGAGGTGGGGAAGACACTGCCCCCACCCCCACCTCACCTTTCCCTTATTTGTTTTTATACAAAGTTGAAAGTCAAGTTTAAATACGTATATTTAACTCTCACTTGGGAAAGTGTGACTTTATGACACCCGAGGGGCTTCACGTGTGCATTTTTAAACAGGATCTGGCCTGAGGTTCCTATAATATGTGGCTCAGAGCAATATAAAGCCATGAGGAATTATGGGCTGTGCTTTCTTTGTCTTGACATTATTATAGACATAAGATATCTTCTCACTGGGAAGTAAGGCCAGACTGCAGTACGTTTGCTCTAGAGGACTAAAAATAGTGCTACTTTGAAAAACCCCCTTTTCCTTGGTGGAAATTTTCATTCTCTTTCTTGTACTTTATTCCCCCCTAAAGAAGAATGTAGTATCTTACCAGTAAGCGTGGCTCATGCCTGCGGATTTCCACCTGTAGGTTGCATGTAGGGGAGACTGGCCATTCTGTGCCGGCATTCCAGGCCACTGACCTGCAAAGCCTCCGTCCCTCCTTAATGAAGCTCTAAAGACTCTTCATGGGTGAGAGTTCCCTAACCTGCCCCTGGTGAGTTCCTTCATGTTAGACCGGCCATGACAGGAGCTGGGCAACCCTGAGCCCTTACAAGCTTTTTGCCTTCTCGCCCAATGCTTGTTAGCAGCCAGAGAACTGAACCAAAGCAGTTCATACTCGTCTTACCTTACAGGTCCACTTGTCAAATGACCGTCGCCAAGGGGAAGGCCAGCACTTGATGTTCTAAGCAGTTAACGTTAATAATTTCTTAAGGTGGACAGAGTCTAAGAGGTTTTCAAATTAGTCCTCAAATGTTTGGGAAAGGGTTTGGTTGGTCATTCAATCAGAAATGCAAACCAAGTGCCTGGTTCTCCCTCTTCTTTATCGTATTCCACTCCAGTGTAGTGCCATGTCTTAGTAGAAACTCCACAAATATTCATCCAATCAATAGATCTTTATTGAGCACTTATACCTTGTGCCAGACATTTGTTGAAGGAATAGCTAAGATTTTCCTTGTGGGTTATTATGAAAATTGTATGATCATTTACTATTTTTTATTATTTTTTTATTTATTTTATTGATTTTTTACAGAGAAGAAGGGAGAGAGATAGAGAGTCAGAAATATTGATGAGAGAGAAACATCAATTAGCCGCCTCCTGCACATCTCCTACTGGGGATGTGCCCACAACCCAGGTACATGCCCTTGACCGGAATCGAACCTGGGACCCTTCAGTCCGCAGGCCGATGCTCCATCCACTGAGTCAAACCGGTTTCGGCATTATTATTTTTTTAAGTTTATTTTTTTATTGTTGACAGTATGACAGATGTCTCCTATTTCCCCCACCCATTTCCCTCTCCATCCAGCCCCCTTTATTGTTATTTTTAATAACAAAAGTGGCACATGCTCATTGAAAAAAAAAGTCAAACTGTACAGAACTGAAAGTTCCCCTGTCTCCCTCTCCAAGGATAACCACTGTTAATAATTTGTGTAACTCCTCCCAGCATATGCTACAGCCTGTACTGCAATTTGTTTTATCCATTCAACAAGCAACTATGTAGTTTTTCCTGTGCCAATACATGCAGTTACCTCAACTTTTTCAACTCCTTCTAAGTGTCATATACTATACATGTGCCACAATTTGTAAAATTTACCTTTTCTCATATTGATGAATATTTAAGCTATCTCTATTCTAATGGTTTACAAATAATGTTGCAAGTACCATTCTTGAGCTTATATCCTTGGGCCCTTTTGTGAGCACATTTGTGGGGTCACTCTGAAAAGTGGAACTCCTTGGTCTAAGGATTGTACTTGTAAAATAGTTAGGTACTTTTCATTTGCTTTTCATAAATATTGTGTTGATTTTTAAAACCCATTTGCGAAGCAAGATATGCACTGTCTTTAACTGATTCTTCCATGAAGTGGCAGATTGGCAGGTCTTGGTATGCTTCCAAATCAATAATCAATCACTGCTCTTTGAGAAAATAATGTTGGGATACGGTGAGCCTCCACTGTTTCCAAAGGCAGGGAGAGTATTTAATCTAAGTATACACTTCATTCCATGGGCCCACTAACCTTGTTCCTGTCTCCCCCCTCAGCGCCCTCCTCCCCGTATTGCTGTTTAAGATTCAGGATGGCAGGCGATTCGGGTATAAACAAATTACGCTTACAGCACGATGTTTGCCCTCAAAGACCTTTCACATTGAGTTGGGAAGACAGACACAGATGGCTAAAAAACAAGCTAAAAATACAAGTCAGTATATAAAAAGCAGCACATATAAATAGTCAGCATCATTGTGGAAGTTAGAGGAAGGAAGGGAAGCAGTGGAGTCCAGTGTTGGAGCTTCAGGCAGAGGCTGCGGGACTGCGGATCCTCAGGTGGGGCCGGCGGTGGGCGGTAGATAACTCTGAAATGCAAGTAAGAATCAGCTGACGGAGGAAGAGAGATTCCACGAGGGTGGAAAATAGGGCGAAAGTGCCCACTTTTAATTTGCTGGTTGGAAGTGGATGGGGTTTACAGTAGTCCTTGAAGTTATTAGAGATACTTAGCAGATATCTTTTTGTGGGTTTTGGAGGGTTTTTTGTTTTGTTTTGTTTTGGGGGGACATGATGGGGCTGGTACAGGTAGGTCATTCAAATTTTGAGACTCTGAAGAAAACTTCCAGCACTTTTCCCAGGAAACGACCTGCCTCCTTGCATATACATGCACACAACATTTTGTGGCTTCAAGCAGCCCTTCCTTCTACCCCAAGGTAAACTTTAGAGTACATCTAAAAGGAGCTACAACCCAGAACCATCCACCTAGAAAAAACGTTAGCAGGTACACACAGCCCAGTAGAAGTTGTTTGGCAACATAAGACATAACTAATATCCGTGTATTTACGAATCACCGAACTCTGAAGCTGACTGTTAACAGGTGGGTGAACAACCTGATAGGGCTGCCGGCTTCCGGCCTCCCCTGCAGCCTTCGTGTACCCGGTGTGAATGACAGGGGCTTCTCCGCTTCGGGGAGGAAAGTCTGACCTGTGAGAAGCCAGGCTCTTGAAAATGGGAGTCAATGGGATTATTAACGCATGTGTCGCTGGAATCCACGCCAAGACGCCGGCCGACTTGCGCCGTAGAAAAGATACTCTTGCTCCCCACCCCCTCCTTTTTTTTTTTTTGACAGTCAGTTAATAAAGACTCAACAATAAGCAGCTGCCAGTGATGTCATTTGGGACTTTGTCCACGGAGCTTGTATTTACAAGCTCGGAGCAACCGCGGAGCCGCACGGAGGGAGCCGTCTCCGCAAACTCGCTCTGCATTCCCTGCAGGACTTTGCTGCCGCTGGGGACGGTCAGGAAAACAGCGCGTCCTCCTAGCGCGGCCTTTTCATGCTTCAAAAATAAACAGAGGATAACTCGGGAGGAAGGTTTTAGCTGGAGAGCGTGTCGCAGTGCCTGTGTCTTGTCTCCAGGGCTGTGATGTGTGTTGACTGAAGCGCGAACTGCAAGTAAGACGGTTGGGATTTTTTTTTTTTTTTTTTAACTCTGGTAACAGTGTTTCTTCTTTATACAGCTTGCTTTCCTTTTAAAGTGAGATAATGATGTTTACGTATGTCTACAGGCTCTGGCTGCCACCACAAGTATGCATTTGTTCCGAGTAATTATAGGGGCTGAGGTTGCCTGTGAGGTGCACGGGACTCCTTGTGTCTGAGAACAGGCACGGGGCGGCGATGATAACGAGATAGTGCTGAGTCCTTAATTATTTGCCTCTGCAGGGAGGTTGGGCATTTTTTAAAAAAATAAAAAGCAACCAACCATAAACTCTTAGGTTGACTTAAGAAGTTTAATAGAAACCTGTAAAGACTAATTTTCAGTGAACTGGGGTGCTGGAGGGGAAACCCGCGTTTTGTCTCTGATCCTTCCTGTGGTTTATGGGTTTCTAGTATGTGACTGCTGTTTACAGTATCTTGTTTCCTCCTGCCCACACCCTCCCCCCAAGCGCACACACAGCCAAGCTCATTCATTCTCGGGGAAGTTAGAGGGTAGAAAAGTGTTTTGAATGGAAACCTTTTATATATGGACATTTTTTTTTTTTTTTTTACTTGAGTATCCTGAGAAATGTTCACTGTTCTGACTTTTCTCTGAGTTAGGAACCTGAAGTCAGGAACTACTGAAAAAAAGCAAACTTGGACATGCAGTGAGGTCGGGAGTCAAGAGCCACATCTTCTCTTTCACTTTCCTTCTGACTCTTTTAAACTCTTCGGATATTTTGGGGGGAAGAATGCTGTCAGTGTGTGCCAGCCTGGACCGGCTCCCTCTTATCACAGCCAGGCTGGGCCACCTGGCCACTCAGAAGTTCTGCTTAAGAGCCCTGTGAGTTTGTCTTTCTAGTCTAGTACGTGCTTCAAGATGCTGGGTTTGTTCCTCAGTGCCTGTGGTCTGGCCCCTCATAGCCAGTAGCAAATCCGGGCTGACTCCTGCCTCCTAGCGCTGACAGCTGGGTGCACAGATTGGCAAGAAGTGTCTCTTAGCCTGTTACCTCCTGCGCACGAACCCCATGACTCACTCCTGGGGGCCTGGCCTGCCCCTCAGTTCAGGGGATCCATCACCAGCCCAGGAGAGCAGTGACAGCCCTCACTGCCTTTCTCTTTTCCTCTGGTCTCAGGAGCTGCCAGAACCCAGCGCCAGAAAAGCGTTCCGGGGGGGTATCACGGTGTGCCACTTGTTGCATGTTTGTCAGCTCCAAATTTTCCATCAGAGCACGCGCTGCTTGGATATGGTTTATGGATTACAGCTCAGTGCTTTTTTGGTGAATTTTCATTTAAAATAAGGGATTTGCTGCTAAAGCAGTTTTCAAAATATTACTCAAAGCTTAATCTTTTTACAGAAGAATACCTCAGGCACAAGGAAGGGAAACAATTTGTCCAAAGTCACTGGGCAAGACGGTGACCGAGCTGCAGCTAGAAACTAAATCCCTGTGCTCCTGCGGCATGCATTTCACGGCTCAGTTCTAAGGGATTAGAAAAGAAATGGGCCCCACGCGTGGTTAGGAGGCCTTCTTGTAGGGGCAGGGCTTGTGTGAAGGTGTAGGAAGGTGGTCCTGCAAAGAGAGAACATTCCTGTGTTGTCTTTGGCTCTGAGAATGCTTCTGAGTGTGTCTGTCCCGCATTGTTTTCACCAGAGGGCCCAAAGGACTCCAGTTAGTTTACAGTTGATGGCTGAAAGGCAAGCCAGGTGGTTCCCGCAGGTGGGATGTGCGGAAGGCATTTTGCATCAGGTACAGGTGGAGAGGTTGAAGGTGGCTCCCAGCTCTGACATTTTGTGGTTCTGCTTTACTTTCAGTCTCAGACCCCTTCTCACTGACCTCACCTGTGTTTCTGACACCTCTTTGGGGATCCTCTTGTCCATATAATCTTCTTTTCACTTTTTCATTGATTCCTCCTACCCCCTCATTCTCGCACTGCAGTCTAGACCTCAGGTTCTGGCATTCAACTGGATTCACACCCTGCATTCCTTTTCTCTCTGGAGCCTGCCTTGCCCATGCGTGTGGGATGCCTCTGGACTCTCGAGTTCGAAGTGCTGATGTCTTCCTTTGGATCCTCAAATTCCATTGAAAACAAGGGCTGTTTTTTAAAAATATATTTTTATTGATTTCAGAGAGGAAGGGTGAGGGAGAGAGAGATAGAAACATCAATGATGAGAATCATTGATTGGCTGCCTCCTGCATGCCTCCTACTGGGGATCGAACCTAAACCTGGGCATGTGCCCTTGACTGGAATCAAATCCAGGACCTTTCGGTTCATAGGCTGACGCTCTCTCCATTGAGGCAAAACCTAGGGCAATTGTTCTCAACCTTGGCTGCACATTAGAATCACCTGGGAATCTTTTTAAAATCCTGATTCCTGGGCCTCATCCTCCGGAAATTCTGTTTCTTTGTTATGGGGTGGGGCCACAACATTAGTAACAAAGAAACAGAATTTCTGGAGGATGGGGGTCAGAAATCAGGATTTTAAAAAGGTTCCCAGGTGATTCTAATGTGCAGCCAAAGTTGAGAACCACTGAGCTAGGGCAAGGGCTGTGTTTTAATCACTCCCTATATTCACTGCACCTGATATACAGTAGTTGTTCAATGTATAATACTAAATAAATAGAATCAGTTGTTAATCTTAAATATCTCATTGCCTACATCAGACACCTAGGCCCCAGCACTTAGCTGATAAAAATATGACATAAGTGCCTTTAAATTCTGTGGTTGAAAGCTCTCAGTGCCAGACTCCTCATATGCAAACAAGACTATGCTGATGTGTTGCTTGCCAACCTCCGCTGGCTCATCTCTCTCCACTCACCCGATGCACTTACTATTATACATCTGTTCTGGAGGCTCCTGTCCCGACAGCTCAACTGAACCTTCCCTGGAGGATGGAGGGGCAGCACCGCGTAGTGATTGCAGACTTGGACTGGAACCCGACTGCATGGGCTCAAGGCCTGCCTCCACCACTTGCTGGCTTTATGGTCTGGTTAATGAACTTATCTGTTTCAAGTTTCATTTTTAAAATGTGGATAATAAGAGTGCCCATCTTATGGGGATCTGGGAGAGGGGGGGAGGATTAAATAACTTATTATAGCCAAAACACTCAAATACCAGACATAATTTAGTACTAATGAGTGTTAGCTGTTGCCATTACTATTTACCTTGCAGATGCCCATATCCCAACGCAGATTTAATGGATCGGCATCTACAAGGTGAGATTCAGACCCAGAAATAGTTAACAAATTCCTCAGATGATTTGGACTGGAATTACTGGCTGAGCTACCAGACATGCTTTCTGTAACCTGAACATGTTGGGCTTGTACGTTCTTTAGCACCTGTATACCTTTATACTCCTGCCTGTGGCATTCTCTATCCACCTAATTTATCCGCCAGGCCAAATTGCTAATCTCATGCATAGCTCAGCAGCTGGCACAGAGCTCCCACTAAATCATGAAAAAAAAAATGTATGAATGCATGCTTGATAGGCGCTCTCAGAGAAAATCTAAACTGTTTTCTTCCCCATAATCACTATTGAATGATTACTGCATCTCAGGCACACTTCTAAGTTCTTTGCATGTGCTATCTCATTATACTCATCCTCCAGGCAAAGATACTGAGGTTCAGGATGGCAGAGTCATGTGCAAAGGTCACATGGGTGGTAAGAGGGAGAGGCAGGATTTGAACTCTGAGCTCATACTGTTGACCTTTCATTGCACTGCTCTCTGGATTTTAGAAGGTGATATTCCTCATGAGCTTTGCCATGATGGGACTTAGTTTTCCCCTGAACGGAGTGTTCTGTCAGACCAGGAAATCAGATGAACACTTCTAGGTGCCAAGTAGTTGGACTGGGGGTTCACATTTTCTAGTTTTTCAGAATTGTCTAAAGCCCATGCCCAGTCCTTTGGTATTTTTGTTTTTCTCTTAACTTCAGGTATGAATCCCCTTGCAGGCAAGCCCAAGGTTACAGCTGATCCTCAGGGTTATCTGCATTCTTGATCTGGGTGTTGGTAGGCTGAGTTCAGCTTGGTCAGGAGTGTAATCCAGAGGATTTAGGTTAAAAAAAAAAAAAAAAAGGAAATACTGGTTGGTCATGTGATTGGTCCTTAAAAAATATAGTGCTTTTAAATAGCCAGAATAGTTGAGACTGAAGACTGGCAAGTTCCTAGAACCAGTTAAACACAAACTACCCTACAGCCTTATTTTTCTCCACTTCTCTAATTCTACACAGTTTAATGCCTTTGGGATTTTAGATTCTCAATTGTACTCTCTTTATAGATGAAATAATAAATCTCTGAGATACATAGAACATTACCCACAGCATTTACTATGCCCCAATACATATTCCTCTAATGAAGTGTGTCGTGTCAGTTTGAAGTCTCAGTTACACAAGGTACTTCCCAGTAGTTACAATACATCAATGAATCTTGGTATGTCAGAGCAGGAGAAAAGATCCCTCCTCTTAGAGATACACTTTCTGGGTTACTGATGCCTTTGAGTAGAATTTGGATGCACTATGGAAAACCATTGGAGTGTGTTCAAAAGTCAAGTCCCAAACCCATTTTGGAATATCAGCTCCAATAATAAGGCAGATAGACATTATGGAGTTGAAAGCAGGGCTGTTAGTTCTGAAATGTGGGGACAAGTGTTACTGTCAGGATGCATGTCCAACAAGCTGCTCCAGGAAGGGTACTTGCTTCTTTTGGCAAATTGGATCTGGAAACAGCACTGGTCTAGGTCAGCCCAAAAGACATACTCCAAATGGTTCTACTGTCAGCTTTAGAAACCTAAAAAATCAAATGATACATGCTCACAGTTTAGAAAACCAAGTAGTACTAAAATGTTTATATAAACATATAACTATATGTCACATATAACTATATGCCACATATAACTACATACATGCACATATTATTTGGTATAACTCTGAATGATGGTGCTGAATTTTATATTCATGCAATTTTATAAACATTGCAGATA